ACCCCAAGGCCCTTCCCCTCCCCCCCGCCTCAGGGCACCGTACCCCAAGGCCCTTCCCCTCCCCCCCGCCTCAGGGCACCGTACCCCGAGTCTTTACACCTACCCCCGCCTCAGGGCACTGTACCCCGAGGCCCTACACCGACCCCCCGCCTCAGGGCACCGTAACCCGAGGCCCTACACCTTCCCTGCCTCAGGGCACCGTACCCCAAGGCCCTACACCTACCCCCACCTCAGGGCACCGTACCCCGAGTCTTTACACCTACCCCCGCCTCAGGGCACTGTACCGAGGCCCTACACCTACCCCCCGCCTCAGGGCACCGTACCCCAAGGCCCTACACCTACCCCCACCTCAGGGCACCGTACCCCGAGTCTTTACACCTACCCCCGCCTCAGGGCACTGTACCCCGAGGCCCTACACCGACCCCCCGCCTCAGGGCACCGTACCCCAAGGCCCTTCCCCTCCCCCCCGCCTCAGGGCACCGTAACCCGAGGCCCTACACCTTCCCTGCCTCAGGGCACCGTACCCCAAGGCCCTTCCCCTCCCCCCCGCCTCAGGGCACCGTACCCCAAGGCCCTTCCCCTCCCCCCCGCCTCAGGGCACCGTACCCCAAGGCCCTTCCCCTCCCCCCCGCCTCAGGGCACCGTACCCCAAGGCCCTTCCCCTCCCCCCCGCCTCAGGGCACCGTAACCCGAGGCCCTACACCTTCCCTGCCTCAGGGCACCGTACCCCAAGGCCCTTCCCCTCCCCCCCGCCTCAGGGCACCGTACCCCAAGGCCCTTCACCTACCCCCCGCCTCAGGGCACCGTAACCCGAGGCCCTACACCTTCCCTGCCTCAGGGCACCGTACCCCAAGGCCCTTCCCCTCCCCCCCGCCTCAGGGCACCGTACCCCAAGGCCCTTCCCCTCCCCCCCGCCTCAGGGCACCGTACCCCAAGGCCCTTCCCCTCCCCCCCGCCTCAGGGCACCGTACCCCAAGGCCCTTCCCCTCCCCCCCGCCTCAGGGCACCGTACCCTGAGGCCTTACACCTACCCCCCGCCTCAGGGCACCGTAACCCGAGGCCCTACACCTTCCCTGCCTCAGGGCACCGTACCCCAAGGCCCTACACCTACCCCCACCTCAGGGCACCGTACCCCGAGGACCTATACCTACCCCCCGCCTCAGAGCACCATACCCTGAGGCCCTACACCTACCCCCCACCTCAGAGCACCATAATCCGAGGCCCTACACCTACCCCCCGCCTCAGGGCACCATACCCCAAGGCCCTACACCTAACCCCGCCTCAGGGCACTGTACCCCCGAGTCCCTACTCCTAGGCACCGTACCCTGAGGCCCTACGCCTACCCCCCGCCTCAGGGCACCGTACCCCAAGGCCCTACACCTACCACCCACCTAAGGGCACCGTACCCTGAGGCCCTACGCCTACCCCCCGCCTCAGGGCACCGTACCCCAAGGCCCTACACCTACCACCCACCTAAGGGCACCGTACCCTGAGGCCCTACGCCTACCCCCCGCCTCAGGGCACCGTACCCCAAGGCCCTACACCTACCACCCACCTAAGGGCACCGTACCCTGAGGCCCTACGCCTACCCCCCGCCTCAGGGCACCGTACCCCGAGGCCTTACACCTAACCCCTGCCTTAGGGCACCGTACCCCGAGTGCTTACACCTACCCCCCGCCTTAGGGCACTGTACCCCGAGGCCCTATGCCCCTCTCTATCCCCCTCAGGGAACCGTACCCCATGGCCCTACATCTACCCCCGCCTCAAGGCACCTTACCCCGAGGCCCTGCACCTACCCCCCTTCCTCAGGGCACCGAACCCCGTGGCCTTACACCTACCCCCCGCCTCAGAGCACCATACTCCGAGACCCTACACCTACCCCCCGCCTCAGGGCATCGTACCCCGAGGCCCTACACCTACCCCGCCTCAGGGCACCGTACCCCAAGGCCCTACACCTACCCCCACTTCAGGGCACTGTACCCCGAGGCCCTACACCTCCCCGAGGCCCTACACCGACCCCCCACCTCAGGGCACCGTACCCCAAGGCCCTACACCTACCACCCGCCTCAGGGCACCGTACCCCGAGGCCCTACACCTACCCCACGCCTCAGGGC